TTTTAGCATAATTATAATTGTTTGATTAACTCGTTCAACTTTACCATTAGTTTAGGATCTATTGGCAGCAGTTAATAATTGTTTTACATTATGATTCCTTAAAAAGTGCTTAAATTTTGAAGATGTAAAAAATTCTTCACTTAAAATATTCTTTGGTACTTGAATTTGAAAAATTTTTCTTAAACAATTTATATAAGTATCAGTACTTACACTTTTAGAAGCAAAAGCCCATATATGTATATTTTGTTAAAGTAGCATGATCAATAATTGTGTGAATATACATTTTAGTAGAATTAAAATAATTTAATCCACCAATAGTATCAATAGACAATATTTCAAAAGGTTCACTAACAGATGGTAAAACTTGCACTAAACCATATTTCTCTTGCTTACTCTTCTTGTTAATTTGACATACTTCACAATTTTTACAATAATTCCTAACATCTTGAAAAATTTCTGGCCAATAATATTGAGAAGATAATTTAATATTGAGGACACACTATTATGACCAAAAGTAAGATGTGGTTTTTAAGTAATTTTAATATGAAGAGATATGAGTATTACAATATTATATAGTCCTTATTTTTTAATAGTTAACACATCATCAATTCTCTCATGTACAGTCAAAAGTCGTTAATCCGGACTCGTCGGGTCCGGATTATAGATCATCAGTTTAAATCTGGTAAGATGGCATGCAGAAATTATAAAATTAAAAATATGAAACCGTAATTTATGAAATAAAGAACAATTATAATCTATAAAGGATATCAAAATTTACAAAAAAAAAAAAAAAAAAAAAAAAAAAAAAAAAAAAAAAAAAGCTTAGTATTTTATTTTACTTTATTAAAAATTTTTTTCAATGTAAGTTCAATGTAACTGTTAAGTTGCTTTGTTTTATGTGATAATACTTTCTCTTTAATTCTATAAACAGACATAATTTCTTGTTCAGTTACAAAGTTCCGCTGTTCAAGTCCTATAATTGCTGTGTCTACCGACTAATTTGTCAATTGAAATTTTTTCGTTTTCAATAACCTCTGCGTCACTTTCTTCAGTATCGGAAGCGAATTATAATGATGAGAAATTTGATTTAAATCATATCAAAGACGGAGTACATCGAGATGAAATACTACATTTAGTAAGGAATTATAAGCCAAATAAAATAAAAACATCTGCCCTGCAGATAAGGATAGTGCTGACAGATCAACTTCCAATTCATTGCCCCCCCCCCTGCTGCCGCAGAACAGCGTGAAATTGATAAACAGATTTCGGAATGGTTAGAGAAACGAAGGATATGCCTTTATCCATTTTTTGCAGCAATTCCACTTTTTGTTTAATGGACTTCGAAACATACTTACATATTAGTAAATTATATCTATTTGACATAATCGAAAGTTCAAGCTTACTTTTATAAAATTGCTGTAACAGTCTGCAAAAAATAATAAACCAGATCCAATTTGAAGATTAAGGAACAATGCAATCTGCATTATTAACTGAATTAGATAATTTTAGCTTAGCTTATAACGTCCGTTATACATTAAATGCGCATGCATAAAGGTCTTACGCGACGCATGCGCAGAAAGTTTAGCTTTGAGGTCCATATTATGGGTGTCCGTCCGAATTAATGACTTTTGACTAGTCCTTATTTTTTAATAGTTAACATATCATTAATTTTCTCATATACTTGGGATTGCAAACATTCTCTAAATTTTGATGTTCTTTAATTAATGATTATAAATTAACTTGCAAACTCAAATGTTGACGGATAGGATTTCTATTTAACATATCAGCTTCAACATTAGTAGAACCTTTTTTATACTTGATATGAAAGTCATATATAGATAATTTTAAAGACTATCTAAGTAACCTACCTGTAGGATGTTTAACGTATTTAAGCCAAACTAGATTAGCATGATCAGTATGTACAGAAAAATGAAATCCATGTAAATAATAATAAAATTTATCTATGGCATCAATAATAGCTTAAGATTCTAATTCAGTAATTGCATAATTTTGTTCATAAGACCTTAATTTTCTAGAATGATAAGCGATTGTGTGTAGGTTGCCATCTGGGTGTTCTCGTTTTAAAACTGCACCAACAGCTTCTTTAGAGGTGTCTGCAGACACATGACAGGGATATTTTTGATTAAACAAAGTTAAAATAGGTCTTGAAATAAATGCATCCTTTAAATTTTGAAAAGCTATTTGGCATTCGTTATTCCATTTATAAGGATTATTTTTTTAACCTTCCAACGCGCGCGCTTGGCAATTTTACATGAGCACGTGCGCGTCGTATTTTTTACGACATCCGTTATTTTACCGTTTTGGGCATGAAAAAACGACAGAAATGAGGGAATATTGATAATAAATTTGTTAAATAAAATATTAATCTTATTATTGCAAAATACAAATGATATCGCATTCAAATATAAGTAAAAGTTCTTATGTTAGTGAGAGGGAAGTGCAATGCAAGACTAAGTTTGTCGTAAATTTTGTGCATACACGCGTGCTAGAAAGTTAAGTAATTTTGTTAAAGGAGCTCTAATTTTTGCATAATTTTGAATGAATTTATGGTATACATTTATAACTTCTTAAAAATTTTTGCAATTCTTTAACATTTTTAGGGGGTTGTAATATTTAATAACTTCAACATTTCCATTACTGGGTTAATATTTTCCTGCTTGAACCTCATATACTAGCAAATGTAAGCAAAATTATGCTTAGATTGTTTTAATTCTATATTCTGTTTTTCACATATGTCAAATGTTATTTTAAGATGTTCACAAAATTTGCGGAAAATACGATAATGTTATCAAAATAATTTAGACTAGGTTTGGATTCAGTTTTGGTAATTTGGTTAAGTTTTTGATAATCAATACACAATCTGTTGTTTGCTTGTTCATCTCTCTTATAAGCTAAAGGTACAGCATAAGGACTAAATGAAAGTTTTATGATTTCAGCATTTAACAGTTTATCTATTTGCTTTTTAATTTCACTGTTATCCCTAAGGGAAACTCTATATATTCAAGAAGCAGCAGGTAATTCTGAATGTAAGACTACTCTTGGAGGTTCCATATTAATACAACTTACATCATATTTGTTTTTAGCAAATATATGATCGTAGTTAATATCTCTTACAATTGATCATTATCAAATTCATTATTTCCAGCATAATTATAAAAATTTTTAGTACTCAAACTATTTTGATATACAAAATTATTCTGAAAAAGTTTATTCAAGTGAATACCTGCACTTATCATGTGTTTTAATTGATACTCTTCATAATTATTAAAATTTAAATAAGGAAACACAAGATGATGCTAATAATAAATACATTAGAATTTATAACATAAAATACTATAGTATGACTAATTTGACCAATTTTACATAACTATTTAATTATTTTAGTCACTACAAAACCTCTTGATAATGAATAAAAGTTAGTATTTGGATTGTTCTAAAGAATTTCGATTTGTGCAATGGAATTTAAAATACTTTCAGATATCACATTTACCTGGGACCCTGTATCGATAATCGGAAGGACTTCTTTTTGATTAAGTTGTACTTTAATTTTAAAATGTAATCACTTCTTCTTTGGATCAGTTTGTTGTGAATGAGGATTGTAGTAGCAGGCAGCAGACAGCTGTGGAGCATATCTGGGAGAACTGTATTGCAGCTGGTAAAACCTAGGTTTCAAAACATTTGGTGGGACACTTTGTCTATGAGTTGAAAAATTTTGTGTTTTACACATTTCTCCCAGTGAACCTGAGGTAGACGAACTGGAGCTAGGAAAAAGTTTCCTAGCGGTGTTAATCCATTCTTTAATTGTTACAAAATTTTGCACAGTGAGCAGCATTCTTTGCTGCTGAGGAAGTCCCCGATTCAACAATTCAACCTCCTCCAGAAATGCAACATTTACAGGACACCCTGTATATATTAATGTATTATAAGTACCTGTCAGAACAGTTCTCCTTTAAAAGGTGTACTTAATTTGTTCAGTACAAGATATTACATATTTAATATAAACCTATTGTCATACCGAAACACATTAAAATTGTGATATTATAGTTCATATAATTTTCTCAGTAATCCTGTGACTTAAAAAGAACCCATAATTTGTTTCCTTTTAATAATAATATGCATTTTAATAAACATATGTATTTTCTTTCTGTATTTTTTAAAGTCAAATTATCATCAACCAGCAGTTCATCGATTATCATAGATTATCAAATACAGTTGTTGATAAAACATATGTATTAATGTGTGGGAAAAATATAATGATAAATAGGTAGCAATGTAATCATCATAATTTTTTTAATGTTTGCATAGATAGTATTCTCAAAAAAAGGTGGTTATATGTTTTATTTCTTTAAATATTGATCCATAGTGGAGTTCCATAGATCCCAGATTTATTTCTAGTAAGGAGTTTTCATAAAATATAGTCAAGAATTTTACACGTCAACATTTGATAGTGAGTGAAAAACAAAATGTTCATTACTTTTAAATTTATGATTAAATGCAAAATTATCTATATCTTTGCATGTAATTTTAACAAAGATGTGATTAATTAATACTTCATGGAGGTCAGGTATAAAGTTAATAATAATAATTAATAGTTTCAGAGACATTGCATAATTTTGCTATGCTGCTTGCTATTGCAATAATATCAAATATGTAGATGTTCTTGAATAGGCACAACTCAAGTGCCAAGTGAACCACAAATATCAGTTGCGAATAAAAATGAAATTAAAACTGCCTCGACTGCCAAGTTTTTTAGATTCTAACGAAGTTAACACATAATCATACTACCAATCAGAACTCGTCAATATGGATCTAAGTATGCATCAACAGTTTTTCGGCTTTTCCTTTCCTTGTTTTTATTATGTCATATTGTGGTGGTGGTGGTTTATTTGTTTCGTTTCATAGTTGCTTGAATATGTATTTTTCTTAATCAACTAATCACTTAAGTCTATTTACTTATATTAAATTTTATTCTTTTTCAGTCCATGATATATTCAAAAAGTATATCCCGTGGTTTAGAGAAAGATATTCTGCATCAAGTGAATATAATGGAATGTGAAAGGTTAGTGGAGAGATGGCAATCTCCTGATTGCATGGAAGCTCTTATGAGATTTTTCCAAAGAAAATCAAAGTATTAATTTTTAAAAGGACTTTAATTTGAACCTGTATCTAAAGTATTTTATTATTATCAACTTTTTATATAATTTTTTTATATCCTGTTGTGAAAACGTTAAATGTATATCTTCAAAATGAATAATATTTCGCAATTATATTCTTTTCTGAATTTGTTGCTGAAATTATGTTTTATGTATGAATTTGTATGATATTTTGTAAATAAGACAATGGTTGAAAATAATTAAAGCTATTATAAAAATAATATAAACCCAAAAGTTTATGAAATTTGTTTCAAGATATATACTAGCATACATTGTATCTCATTCTTCTCAATCACCTTCTACTATTATTGCTAGACTGTAAATAACAATACCAGCACCATTTCCCATGATTTGGGAAGCTTTTCCAAAATAATTTTACCATTATAATAGTAATAATATAATGAACCAATTTGGAAAGGCTTTCCAAATTGGTTCCACTGACCAATTAATGGAAAGGCTTTCCAAATTGGTTTATTTGAAAAATTCTCTAGGTTTCCGATGATAAATACAAATGAATTAGTATAAAAACATAAGAAACTTCACTGAAACACATAGGCACTATTTTGTTCTATATTTTTTTGTCATGTCTCTGGCAGCTTAAAAATTCCTTTTTCAAAAATGTCATTTGACAGTCTCCAAAGAAATGAATTCCAAACCATTCAGAGAATTTTAAAGTGACCTTAGAAGATGAAAATCTGAGAGGCAAGGCTTGGCAAATATGGGAGCAGGGACTGAAATAATGGCTGTAAAAGGCAGTTGAAAAAGAATTAGAAAGGTTCTAGAAGCTCTGGGTATATGCATACAATTGTTTATTACTTTTTATTTATTTATTTATTTATTATGGTAAGAGAAAAAATGATTTACTTCTTTCTAAGAATTTATAAACCTTAACAATTTTGCCCATTAGAGTTACATATCTAGAGCAGGGGCTCTTAAAAGTGTGTGCTGTAAAACAACATAAGTAACAACAACATAAATAGGAATACATAAAAAACAGACATGGTGTATAAAATGTTGTTGTGAGTTTAAGACTGCAAAATTGTGTTATAACTGACCAATTAATGTTCCAAATCTTCAATAATTTTTTGCTTTTTTAACTTGGTGAGAAGCAAAGACTTGCTTACATTTCCGTGATAATTCAGTACAAAGAGAATCAGTAATTGCATTACTTTTTAATTCAAAAATATGTCATACATGTGAGTAGCAAACTCGGATTTATCTGTCGCAAATATTGATAATATTCATTCTTCATTTCATGAAATTTTGAGCCTCCCTTTCCTTTTGACAACCAGTGAATATTGCTATGAAGAGTACAATTTCATGACAATCTTCTACATCCTGGCATGTCTTAGAAATCTAGTTTTTACTGGTCTGGTTTTAATGTAGTTAACCATCCATTACACTCCGTCCATTACACTCCACAGAGCTGAAAGAATTATTTTTGCCTCTAAAGCTTCCTGATATTTACATAAATATTGCATGAATCCAGTGTTAGGGAAATTTTATTTTCAAAATAAAGCATTTCATTTGATCAGTTATGCTAGTGGGCTATATGCAAAGGATCTGTTCAACTAGTATTTCTTGTCAAAAATCTTTTGTAGTTCAGTAAGTGGCATTTTTTGGCTCTTTTTGTAATTTCATCAAGTGAACATTTTTTACCAAAATGTAATTTTTCTGCTTTTTATTTCCAAATGTATTCTGCTTAGGAAAAAATAGTATAATTTCACAAAAATATTTTTGATGTTTCCCTCTTAGCATCCTCTCCTAGCATGGATTTAATTTATTTGCAAGCAGGTAAAATCATATTGGTATGTGACTGAAATGTTTCTGCTGCTGTATATGTCTTCATGGCAATTACTTTTGCTACTTTATAGCTTTTTTGTGCTTATTTTATTCTTTATTTTGACATGTTTTATTTGAGAAAGCAGCAAATGACTAAAACTAGCTTTATCTTTGCTTACTAAATTACAATGTTTCATTTTCAAATGCTTCTTTAGTTTGCTTGGACTATACACACACATAGAGCATGTGTGTATAGTCCAAGCAGCTTACACAGTGTGTAGTAAAAACCACACACTGTGTAAGCTCATAATTATTAAATTCAGACTACATAAATCTGAAGCTTACTGAAGTCTGGAAATTAATAAGTACAATATATATATATTTTTTTGTTAATTTATGTACATACCTTCATATAGAGTGGTGATAATAAAATTAATAGGAAATATGTCCTTTAGCAGAACTGACCTCTTGAATGCACTTAGCATTGACTCTAGTCTTGCACATACTTTTTACTTCATCATGGAATCACAATTTTATAGCATTCTTAATCCTTTAACTACGAATTAAAAAAAAAAAAAAAAAATCCCGTTTTCTATTGAAGTGAACAAAATATGTCATAAATAAGGTAAATTTAGCATTTTTGATTTTTTTTTGACAAACAGTTTTCAAGCCATAGGCTGGAACACGTATCTCCCCAGCCGTAGTTAATGATGGGATACATAGAATCAACTTACTATAAGCACACCTATTATTCTGGAAAACTTTATTATATGAAATAGATTTTACATCGTATGGTACAGGGTAAACCATTCTTTGCATAACCGAACAGTACATATACGGCAACTCGTATTTGTTCTTTTCTTTATGTTCATTTGTGTGCAACGAGCACAGCGGCATTTTCCAACTATTGTAAGATGATCCCCAACATTCAAGATTATAAGTGCTTTTTACCCAGTAGTAATTTTTAAACTTTTAGTGGGGCATAATGTCCCATTAGTTGTCAAAGGGAAGCTGCATTGACACTGGTCCATTGAGGTGAAAAGCGGCAACGCGTAAAAAAAACACTTTACGCGTACGTTAGTTCACACTAGCGCGGCAACTTTCCTTTAAAAGTTGTCGTGCTCATACTAGATGGCTCTTCATATCGGAACTTGGAGAAAAACTTGAAATTTTTGTCTGGTATTTTGACTTTTTACAGTTACATTTTTTAATTAAAATGTATTTAATTTCTTCTCGATTAAAATTTATTTTACTTCTTACATTGTGTGAGAGAAGCAGAATGCTGTGTTTTACATTAGTATGTGAGAGATAATTGCAAATAATTTAATTATTTGCAATAATTTAATTGAGATGCAAATAATTTAATTGAAGAAATGCGCTTGAACGAAATTTCTTTTGATTACTTTCGCATGACACCTCATTAATTTGATGAATTTCTAGCCCTCACTGAACTATTTATTCAAAAGCAGAACATTAATTTTTGTCAGAATATCACAGAAAAGAATCGTTTGGAAAATAGGAAAAGGATATCCCAGCAAAGGATTGTGGTATGTATCAAACACTGCGTATATCTAATTAATTGATGAATTTTGTTGAATAATAATTAAAAAATCCTACTTGCTTGATCCTATTTTAAGTAAATTTTTTATGGGGTAGAATACCATAAATGTTTTTGCATGATGTATGAACTTCCCTTAAATGCTTCCTTAACTTCCCTTAATTAGTTTAAATAATGCATTAAAAATATTTTGTTTAAATGTGTGTAGGATTTACAGTATTACTAAATTAAATATCACACTTAAAAAAAAACAGTTATTTAAGTTAATAAACAACAGCAATTGTTTAAAAAAAATTTTTTTTCTGCCTTATGTACATATTTTTTACCTTAAATATACTTTAATGTACTTTAATTAGTCATTCATATATTAATGAACAGCCACTATTTAAAGGTTTATTTTATAAGGTCACTTTTATATAAAACTCATTGAAGTAACTATATTTTATATGATATTTCTTTTTCTGTGTTAAAAATTGAATTCCACAATTAGCAAATTTGCTAATGCTCATTCAGAAGTTCTTTAAATTAATCAAAAATTATCATCAAGATTAGACCTTTCGAAAAGTGGTCATGCATGTTAAGAAAAACAAACATGAAGCCATTAAAATGCATAGAAGTAGTCCATAAAATCAGCTACATCATACCTGCCAACTTTTACGAATTTTTCGTAATTTTTACGAAAATGTGGTTGTTTTAATTCGAATTTTACGAATCGTTCGAAAATTTTTTTTTTTTAATTTTTTTGTTTTTTATTGTTTTTTTTGCTTTTTGTTAATTTTTATTTTTTTTTTTTTTTTTTTTTTTTTTTATTTTTTTTTTTTTTTTTTTTTTTTTTTTTTTTTCGCCTACTTTTGATTTTGTTTATTTATGTAATGTGTGTTTTTTTTGAATTTTTGCCTCTTTCAAAGATTTTGATGCTTTTTTTTTACTGTTTTTTTGTTGTGTTTTTCTTGCTTTTCGTGTTTTTTCCTCTTTTGTGCTTTTTTTCCTTGAATTTTTGTGGGCGCCAGATTTTTTTTTTCGCGTGCCAAGCACCAGGACAATTACTCAGCGAGCTTGATGTTGCATTCTGTTTTGTTTTTTGTTGGTGTTTGCACGTGCTAAAACGAATTTTCTTAATACGTCGTTGTAAAAATGAGCTAAAAAAAAAAACCGTATATTCTCAAATTTTCGGCCTGCCTACAAAGCCGAATTTCCAACAAAAAGAATCCTTCAAAGGAAATAACTATGCATTTTTGGCAACGTGTGCGTGTGTGACTTCATAATAAGTCACGGTGGAAGAAGCGACAGGGTGAAGCATGTTAAGTCTTAAAAAAAGCATGAAGTAATGCTTCGGCTTCGACAACAAAGTCAAAGAAAGTGGATGATTTTTTTTTTCAAATTCGGTACGATTCGGAAATTCGATGCGCCGATGTCATTTTGGCAGAGTGTTTGTGTTACTGCAATTCCTCATCGAACACAACGTGCCGCTAAGCGCTGCCGATCATGCGGGTCAACTTTTCAGACGGATGTTTCCCCGACTCCAAGATTGCTCAGAAATATGCTTGTGCTCGCACGAAAACATCTTCTATTGTGAACGAAACTGCTTGCAATGCCACAAAAGTAAAACGATAGCTGCTCCAGAATTCAGCATTTCGGTGTCAATCGATGGCAGGAAGCTTCGCAATGCGTTGGAAGTCCTAGAATTCTCGTTCTGTGTGACGCCGAATGCTGAATGAAAAGTGAAAAGTTTGTCATTCTTGGAAAAAGCTATGTCCAATATTTTTTTATGTTTCTAATGAAATGAAAACTCATCTTTTGCATCTTCCATTGTTAAATGGAGACGCTACGGAGGAAAATATTGCCTCCTTGGTAATTAATGAGTTGAAACAAC